CCAATAGGCAGAATTCTGGTGATAGATAATGCTACTCTGAGCCTTTCTAGACCTGGGGTAGCCAGGGCCTGTGTTGAAATGAACCTTCTAATCAACAATCCTAAGAGATTCTGGTTAGATATGGGGGGTGTTAGTGGCAGGTGGCAGAAGATATTGTATGAAAAAGAGTACAGGTACTGTCTTGCTTGTCTTAAGCAGGGGCATGATGAAGTGCAGTGCAGAAGGAAGAAGAAAGTGGAAGATGATATCTCTGAAAAGAAGCAGGAGGCTGGGAATAATCTTCCTCAGGATGAGGAGTGGAAGAAGAGAAAAGGCAAAGCTATGGCTACAGAAGGACTGAGAGGACAGTCTAGAAAAGAATATAGACATAAATCTAATCCTCAAACTACTGCTGTGGGGAATAGTTTTTCTGTTTTAAATGAGGAGATTGTTGTAGAAGAGCAAGATATTGGGAAGGAAATGGCTCTGAAAGGTCAGGAAATAATACCTGACAAGGTCACTAATAATGAAGGATCTCCTTCTATTCAGGAGATGGGTATTGGATCTGTTGAAATACAGGGGGAGGTTGTTAGAAAGGATACTGTAATTCTTGATAACCCTCAGGGAAGCTCTGAATGTGGTACTCAAGGAGTTGGTAATGCTAATAATGCTGATATCAGATTGGAGGGAATACAACAAGAGAACAGTCCAAGAGTAACTATTGTTTCTGAATCTAGGAATCAAATTCCCATAAATACATCTACTGTGGGGGCTACTTTGGAGGTAAATTCCTTTTCCTCCCCTACTCCATTATCTCCTGTTAATGAGGAGGTCAATGTTGGAGTTTCTGTGATTGATGGTATTAATAATGACAATATGGTGGTTAATGAAAATATGGAGGTTTTGGGAGAATGTAGGAATTTTTATGCTCCGTCAATGGACTCATCTTTCCTTTTGGAACATGGATTTGTTGTTAGGCAAGGAAGCCAAAATTCTTTAGATGACCAGTCTGGTTTGGTAAGGATGAAAGAACCTCCAGATAAGGGTTATTTTTCAGATCAGGCTAGCTCTAGACCTCAGAGAATTGTAAATGTTGAATCTGATAACTCTGGGAGTTCTTTTGAAGAAGAGGATGAGGGTAATGGACTTAGTTCCAGTAAAGTTCCATCTCCTATGAATTTATGATTAATCTTCTATCATGGAATATGAGAGGGGCAGGTAAGGATGCCAAGAGGAGGAGATTAAAGAAGCTTATTAAATTGCATGATGTTTGTCTTGTTGCAGTTCAAGAACCTAAATTACTGATTTCTAAATTGGTTCCTTTTGCTAGGAGTATTGGTCTAGAGCACTTCTGTTCTAATGCTCTTGCAGAAAGGAAAATTTGGATTTTATGGGATGAGAGAATCAAGTTGAGAATCTTATTTGAGCATGATCAAGTATTGACTGTGGAAATAACTTTTCTGAATTCAATTATTTTTTGGATCTCAATTGTGTATGCTAGTTGTGATCCTTTTACAAGAAGGCTTTTATGGGATCATTTGTTGGGAATTGATGTTCCTTCTGATGTTCCTTGGATGGTGGTTGGTGATTTCAATTCAATCCTATCTTCTGATGAAAGATTGGGGGGAGCCCCTCCTTCTTTGCTGTCTATAGAGGATTTTGGTGACTTTTTAAATCATAGGGGTTTGTTGGATGCTGGTTTTGTGGGAAATAAATTTACCTGGTGTGATAACAGGAATGGGGGTATCAGAATGAAGCAGAGGTTGGACAGAGCTCTGATTAATGCTTGCTGGAATTTGGAATTTGATAGTATGGAAGTGGCTCATTTAGCAAGGGGCTCTTCTGATCATAGCCCTTTATTGATGAAAATTATGGATGCTCCTGTACAGAAAAAATTTCTTATTTTAGATTTCAAGACATGTGGTGTGATCATGAGGGATTTCTTGATCTGATTAAAGCAAATTGGGGGGGGGGGGGATCTATTCAGATAATCCAATGTCAAATTTGTTCATCAAGATGAAATACTTGAAGGCTCATATGAAGATGTGGAATAAAAATGTGTTTGGCAATCTCTTTGACAAATTGAAAAATCTTGAGCAAAAAATAAGTTTGTTGGAACAGGAGTTAGATCAGAGTTTTTCTGATTCAAAAGACATGGAGTTAAAAGCTGCTAAAAATGAGATGGATGATTGGTTAAGAAGAGAAGAAACTTATTGGAAGCAAAAATCAAATATAAAATGGGCTATACAGGGGGAAAGGAATACCAGATTTTATCATTCTATTGCTAAAAGTAGAATGGTTAGGAATAAAGTCTCAAGAATCAAGAATAAAGAAGGGGTCTGGGTGTATGGGGATAAGCAAGTGGCTGAGGTTGTGGAGGAATTTTATGTTGATCTCTACAAGACTGAAAGGCATATCATCAATGAACAAATTCTTGTTGATGTTATTCCTAAGCTCATCAGTCAAGAGGATAATGAGTGGCTTACAGCTGAAGCCTCATTGGAGGAATTGAAAGATGTGGTCTTCTCAATGGCAGTTGAAAGTGCCCCTGGGCCTGATGGTATGTCTGGTATGTTTTTTCGATTTGCCTGGGATATTGTTAAAATGGATGTGGGCAGAGCTGTTAATTTTTTGCTAGCAGGAGGTTCAATGCCTAAATCTGTGAATTCCACTTTATTAGTATTGATTCCTAAGAAGGAAAATCCATGTTCATTTGCTGATTTCAGACCTATAAGCTTATGTAATTTCTTATATAAGATCTTTACAAAGCTTCTTAATACTAGACTGTCTTCCCTGCTTCCTACTTTAATTTCTGAAGAACAACATGGCTTTGTCCAAGGGAGAGGCATTGGGGATTGTGTGGCCTTGGGACAGTTGCTTGTTGGAGAATTAGACAGAAAGGTGGAAGGTGGGAACATGGTTATGAAGTTGGATATGATGAAAGCATATGACAGGATGGAATGGGATTTTTTGTTGAGGGTACTGGCTGGCTTTGGTTTTTCTGATTTGTTCAATCAAATTATTTTGAATTGTTTGAGTAGCCAATTCTTTACCATATGTTTAAATGGTCAAAGATATGGTTATTTTGCTAATTCAAGGGGGTTAAGACAGGGAGATCCTCTCTCCCCTCCTTATTCATCCTGGCTGAGGAAGTGCTGAGTAGAGGGTTGAGAAGAATTTATAACCAGAATTTGGTGAAACATTTCCATATTGGGAGAGGAACAACAATTGTTAGCCACTTGTTATTTGCTGATGATACTCTGATTTTTCTAAGAGGTAATAAATCCTCTGTTGTGAATGTTTTGCAATTTATTGAGTTGTATGAATCATGCTCTGGTCAGAAGGTTAACAAAATGAAAAGTGCTGTCTATTGCTCTAAGCTGATCTCTTTATCCAGAAGAAATAGGCTGGCTTCTGTGATGGGGATTCCTTTTAAGGATTGTCCTTTTACCTATTTGGGCTGTCCTATTATCAGAGGAAGAGTTAAGAAATGCTACTTTGAAGAGGTGGTGAACAGCTTTAGAAGAAGACTTGAGGGTTGGTATGCCAGACTTCTATCTGGAATGGGAAGAGTGGTATTGGTACAGTCAGTACTCAGCTCAATCCCCATTCATATATTGGCTTGCTTGAATATTCCAAAAGGTATTTTAAGTAAGCTGAATTCTCTTATTGCTGATTTTATTTGGTCTAATCAAATTGGTTCCAGGAGGAGACATTGGGTGTCACTTAATGATATTTCTAAGCCCAGAATAGAAGGTGGTTTGGGGATTAGAAGTTTTGATGAAGTCCAAATGGCATTCAGAATCAAACAGGTGTGGGGTATTTTAAAGGGTTCTTCTTTGTGGGCCAAAGTCTTTAAAGAGAAGTTTTTTCAGGGGAAGCATATGCTAAGATGTAGTAGCAGTGGTGCAGGTTTATCCTTTAATGTATTGAGGCCTTGGTTCAATTTCACAGTACAGAATTCCTTCAAAATTGTTAGAAATGGTCATAACACTGATTTTTGGTGTGATTCATGGATGGAAACTGGCCCCTTGATTCTTAGAATGGAGAATCTTCCATTGATCTTTCCCAAGATATATGAAGTATGGAATGGTGTAACATGGCAGCTTAATGAGGTTGCTGAATGGCTTAATCCTCAGTTATGTTCTGAAATTGAAAGTGTGGTTTTTGTGAGATCTGAGGAATCTGATAATGTTATTTGGAAGCATACTACTTCAGGTGAATTTACTGTAAAATCTGCTTGGAATCAGATTAGGAAAGTGGGGAACCACAATGCTATTGCTAAAGGCATATGGAAACAGAAAATTTTTCCTAGTGCTCAACTTTGCACTTGGAAAATTTTCAGAAAAGCTTTGACCTCTGATGATAGAATTCAAGATGTGGGAGTGGCAATGGCTAGTAAATGTGTCATGTGTGGTGTGGCTGGGGAAAGTGCAGCTCATGTATTTATTGATTGCTCTTTAGCTCAAGCTGTCTGGAGTAAAATTGCTGCAATTATGGAATTTGATGTTTTTTCAGGAGAGGCTCCTTTATGCAGATTCTTGAGATTGTTGAGAAGGTTTAAAGCTGCTTCTCTCAGTCATAATCTAATAAGAGGGGTAACTATGTTAATTTTTTGGGCTTTGTGGAAGGAGAGATGTAGGAGGAAATATGAGGGAGTATTTTTAAATGCCAATGCTATCTTCCAGCAAATAGTGAGTTCTTTAAGATGGCAGGCTTTTCTTATCAGACCTAGATCAAATGATGATGGTAAGGGTAAGGAGTTGTTGAGAGATTTGAGTATTAAAAGTCCTTTTTCCTTAATCACCAAGGTTAAATGGATTAAATGGGAACTTCCTCCTGCAAATGTGCTAAAGCTTAATGTTGATGGTGCTTCTAAGGGTAAGACTGGATTGTCAGGTGGTGGGATGGTATTGAGAGATCATGAAGGCAAAGTAATTGTTGCAGCTTCCTGTTTTTATGGTATTGGTTCCAATATGTTAGCTGAATGTATGGCATTATTTGATGGTTTACTTCTGATTATGCAATATAGTCTGACAACATCTCAGATTATGGTGGAAACTGATTCTTATACTTTATTTCAAATGGTGAGAGGATTAGCTGCTGTTCCATGGAAGATGGAATATCTGTTAGAAAGGATTAAGCTGTTGTTTAATTTTCTGAATTTGCAAATCAAGCACATATATAGGGAAGCTAATGGTCTGGCTGACTTCTTCGCTTCCTTTGCTGTTAAATCAGAACAGTACACTGAATTTTCTGCAACTAATATTCTGCCATCTATTGGGAGGCTTATAATGCAACAAGATTTATATGGATTTCCCTCTGCCAGATTGAAGAGATTGATATGTGAACAAAGAGAAGGTATTGGTTAAGTTTCTGTGTATACAATATGAAATGCCTAGAAGCTGGAAATTGCAGTAACTCTAGGAAACATTCTAAAAGGGATTCTATTTTGGTTCTTCTGCTGGTTGGATCTGTGTTGATTCTAGCAGTCCTCTGAGATGATTTATTAGAATCAAGAGCAGTTCTTCAGTTTCTGTTGGCTGCTCCTTTTCCAATATGCCTGGACTATCTTCTGGACTTCTTTTGTGAGCTTTTGAGTGTGGATGATCAGGTTTTCTGATGTCATCCTGTTCCCTTTTGCGTTTCATCTTGAAATGTTGAAGGATCCTGTTTCAGTACAGTTTTATAGGTGATATTTGATGTTTGGTCTACTCTGCATCTGGCCATTTCAGACAACTGGTTATTAATGAATAGTGCATGTATGAGAGCTGTATCTGGACTAGCTCTAGAAGGGTCTGGACAGCCTTATTTGACTGCTTGGCATTCTGACCAATGCTGTAGATTATTTGAGGGGATGATCCTTATTATTTTTGGCAGACTGTTGGGCTTCACTGTCTCTCCCTGGACTGCATTTGCTACCGTTTCTTCTGTGGTTTTAAGGCATTTTCTCAGGATTGTTTCAGCTGGATGGAAAGAAGACATTACAAAGGGATTAATTTTTGAATTACCATTTTACCCTTGTATTGTTTTAGCTGTTATATGTTCATAAGTCACTGTTTTTAGCTTAAAAATAGTGACTTATTTGCTTCTTGTAATTTCTGTTTTTATTCAATAAAATTTTTCTTTTAAAAAAAAAAAAAAAAAAAAGGGTTTAGGGTTTAGGGTTTAGGGTTTTAGGGTTTAGGGTTTAGGGTTTTAGGGTTTTAGGGTTTAGGGTTTAGGGTTTTGGGTTTAGGGTTTAGGATTTAGGGTTTGGGATTTCGGGTTTGGGGTTTGGGGTTTGGGGTTTGGGGTTTGGGGTTTGGGGTTTAGGGTTTAGGGTTTAGGGTTTACTAGTATTGATTCCCAAGAAAGAGGATCCATCTTCATTTTCTGACTTCAGGCCCATAAGTTTATGCAATTTCTTATACAAGATCTTTACAAAATTTCTGAACACAAGATTATCCTCTTTACTTCCTACTTTAATTTCTGAAGAGCAACATGGCTTTGTCAAAGGGAGAGGAATTGGGGATTGTGTGGCTTTGGGACAGATGCTTGTGGGTGAGTTAGATAGAAAGGTTGAATTTGGAAATATGGTTATGAAATTGGATATGATGAAAGCATATGATAGAATGGAATGGGATTTCTTGGGAAAGGTTCTGACTGCTTTTGGTTTTTCTGACTTGTTCAATCAAATCATTTTGAACTGTTTGAAGAGCCAGGTCTTTACTATATGTTTAAATGGCCAAAGATATGGTTATTTTGCTAATTCAAGGGGTTTAAGGCAGGGAGACCCTCTCTCTCCTTCATTGTTTATCTTGGCTGAAGAGGTGCTAAGTAGAGGACTGAGGAACATTTATGCTCAGAATTTGGTAAAACACTTTCATATTGGCAGAGGAACAATACTTGTTAGCCATTTGTTGTTTGCTGATGATACTCTGATTTTTCTGAGGGGAAACAAAAGTTCTGTGCTGAATGTGATGAAATTTATTTCTATATATGAAGCATGCTCTGGTCAGAAGGTTAATAAGCTGAAAAGTGCTATGTACTACTCTAAGCAGATATCTTTTGCTAGAAGAAATAGGCTGACTTCTGTGGTGGGAATTCCACTTAAGGATTGTCCTTTTACTTATTTGGGATGTCCTATAATAAGAGGAAGGATAAAGAAATGTTACTTTGAGGAGGTAATTAAAAGCTTCAGGAAAAGAATTGAGGGGTGGTATGCCAGATTACTTTCAGGTATGGGGAGAATTGTACTGATACAATCAGTACTCAGTTCTATTCCTATCCACATTTTGGCCTGTCTGAATATCCCAAAAGGAATCCTAAATAAGTTGAATTCTTTAATTGCTAATTTCATTTGGTCTAGTCAGATTGCTTCCAAAAGGAGGCATTGGGTCTCTTTGAATGATATCTCTAAGCCTAGAACTGAAGGTGGGCTAGGAATTAGAAGATTTGAGGAAGTTCAAGCAACATTCAGAATAAAACAGGTATGGGGGATTCTAAATGGTTCTTCTTTGTGGGCTAAAGTTTTCAAAGAGAAATATTGTCAAGGAAAGCATATTCTAAGGTGTGGAAATAATGGGGCTGGTCAGTCTTTTAAAATGTTGAGACCATGGTTTAACTTCACAGTTCAGCACTCATTGAAAATTGTTGGGGATGGAAGTAACACTGATTTTTGGTGTGATTCATGGTTGGACAAAGGTCCACTGATTCTGAGAATTGTGAACCCTCCATTATTCTTTCCCAAGATTTATGAATTATGGACTGGATCTGAATGGCAGCTTAATGATGTTGCTGAATGGCTTAGTCCTCAACTCTGTTCTGAGATTGAAAGTGTGACTTTTGTAAGATCTCAGCACCCTGATAGACTTATATGGAGGAATACAACCTCAGGATCTTTTTCTGTTAAGTCTGCATGGGAACAAATAAGGATAAAAGGAACTCAGTCTGCTATAGAAAAAGGAATTTGGAATCAAAAAACTTTTCCTAGTGCTCAGCTATGTACATGGAAAATTTTTAGAAAAGCTTTAACCACTGATGATAGAGTTCAAAGTGTGGGGGTTGCAATGGCCAGTAAATGTATATTGTGTGGATTAGAAGGGGAAAGCTCTACTCATATTTTCATTGACTGTTCTATGGCTCAAATTGTATGGAGGAAAACTGCAGTGATGATGGGATTTAATGTTCTGCTTGGAGAATCTCCTTTATGTAGATTTCTAAGGCTGCTGAGAAGGTTTAAAACTCCTTCTCTTAGTCATATTTTAATAAGGGGAGTTACTATGCTAATATTTTGGGCTCTGTGGAAGGAGAGATGCAGGAGGAAATTTGAGGGATTGTTTTTAAATGGTCATGCAATTTTCTTACAAGTTTTGAGTGCATTGAAATGGCAGGCTTTTATTGTAAAGCCTGGATCAGCTGATGACATTAAGGGTAAGGAGTTATTAAGAGAGCTAAAAATTCAGAATCCTTTTTCTTTAATCATTAAGGTGAAATGGATCAAGTGGAATTTTCCTCCTCCAAATATACTGAAGCTTAATGTTGATGGTGCCTCTAAAGGAAAAACTGGACTGTCAGGTGGAGGGGTAGTGGTGAGAAATGATGAAGGGGAAATTATACTTGCTGCTGCCTGCTACTATGGGATGGGTTCAAATATGGTTGCTGAATGCAAGGCTTTGCTTGATGGATTATTACTGATTCTGCAGCATGGTTTGTCACCAAATCAGGTTGTGGTGGAATCAGATTCTCAGACATTAGTTAAAATGGTGCTGGGTTTAGCTGCTATTCCATGGAGGTTGCAACATCAGTTAGAGAGGATTAAATTGTTGTTTGGCATGTTGAATTTGCATATTACACACATTTATAGGGAAGCAAATGGACTTGCTGATTTTTTAGCTTCCTGGGCTGTTAAAAATGAAAGAAGTACTGTTTTTTCTGATGGTACCCTTCTGCCTCTTCCTGGGAAGGTTATTATGCAACATGATCAGAGTGGATTGCCTACTGCCAGATTAATGAAAATGATTTGTAGTCAAAGGCAAGGCATTGGTTAATATTTCTCCCTATGGGATCTTCTGATGAGATGGGGTTGTAGAAGAAATTGCCAAACAGTTTTTGAATCACCATCAGAATTTGCAAATCCATATTATTTCAATATAATGAAATTACATAATGCAGGAAGTCTGGAGTTCAATGGATCTTTTCTCACTTTGCTTCTTTGGATTGCTGGCTTTGTCTTTCTATTTCCAGCAAATGTTGGAGATGTTCTATCAGCAGTATAATCAGAATTTCCATTTCTGGATTTTCCTGATTATCCCTTCTTCCTCTTGGACTATCTTCTGAACTTCTCTTACTGGCTTTGGAGGGTGGTTGATCAGTCTTCCTCCTATCATCCTGCTCTCTTTTACGCTTCATTTTGGAGTTGATAGGAGGAATGTACTTACTTCTATTTTATAGCAGAAATATTGGTGATGGAATTTCCTACATTGCATTTGGTTTTCAGAGGGGATGTTTTGGAGTTTTCAAGACCTGTGCATGTATCTGGACTGACCTGGTGAAGATTTTTTGGATTCTTAGCATAAGTAATGGAATGCAATTGACTGCTCTCATTGGCAGACGGCTGGACTTCAAGCTGGGAATTGCAGTTTAATACTATATGTGCATTTCTCATGCTCAAAGCTTGGAATGGCTTCCTGCAGCTCCAAATGATGGTGTGGAAGAAGATGAATAACAGGAAAAGAAGACTGTATATAGGATTATGTTGCAAAATTACTTTTCTATCCTTATATATAGTTTTCTTTGTAATTTGTTTTACAGTTACTGTTTTTATCTTTAAACAGTACTATTTTGCTTCTTGTAATTTCTGCATTTTTCTGGAATAAAATTTCTCCTTTTCTTAAAAAAAAAAAAAAAAAAAAAAAAGGGTTTAGGGTTTAGGGTTTAGGGTTTCGGGTTTAGGGGTTTAGGGTTTCGGGTTTAGGGGTTTAGGGTTTCGGGTTTAGGGGTTTAGGGTTTCGGGTTTCGGGTTTCGGGTTTCGGGTTTAGGGTTTAGGGTTTAGGATTTAGGGTTTCGGGTTTCGGGTTTCGGGTTTTCGGGTTTCGGGTTTCGGGTTTCGGGTTTCGGGTTTAGGGTTTCGGGTTTAGGGTTTCGGGTTTAGGGTTTCGGGTTTCGGGTTTAGGGTTTCGGGTTTCGGGTTTAGGGTTTCGGGTTTAGGGTTTAGGGTTTAGGGTTTAG